AGAGATTCCCCCCCCCCCCCCCCCCCAAAGCTTTTCCTTCTAATAGCTTATTTTCTAATTGCCTTTTTTTGAAAAGTCTGTCAAATCAGGCTGGGGCTTCACTGTGGCTGACTTGAGGCTGAATGTTCACGTTGAGCAAAGTATTTCCTTGGCTGATGGAAGTAACAAAGCATGAAAACAAATGCTTTTCTGTAAACCAGCCCACGTGGAGGTGGTTAGTCACGTTAGCCTGAAGTCTCTGATTCGGTTGGTCTAAAGAACAGGATGTGTTGCAGTTACTCTAAGTAAATGTTAAGGCTTAAGCCCCCATGTGGACAGTCTCCCTCTGGGATACTGTGAATAGATGAGGAGTGTGTAGATGATTTAAAATGCCCAGTCTGACATGTGCAGGAGCAAAGAAGAGTATTTAAATATTCTGCAAGGCAATCTGTATTGCTTTCAAGCTGAAGTTCCAATACTTGGCTGTTAGCTAATTACTAAGCTATGTAGCTTGGTCTCTCTTTCCCCATGTTATTTACAAGCTAAACTACATACAAGCTATGTACTAGTCAGCAAAATAAGATTTAAATTGGCAAAGCTGCCTTTTAGCAAATTTCTTTTAACGAAGCTTTTTTTTCTGTTGTTTCTGTGCACTCTATTTAATTGGTACATTTTAAGTTAGCTAGTCATCTTGCTGCAACTTTTGAAAAATACTAATTCATGTAAGCTTGAAAATAATTTAAAACTTTTTGCAGAGATTTGGCTTTAAGACTGTCCAAGAAAATTGTTTTGTGAGACTTGCGGGTAATGGAAAATAATTTCTGATCCAAACAGCTCTTCCTATTTGTAGACTCCGCATCTGAATTCTGGAGGTAAAGCTCACTGTTAGAGGTATTGAGCAGCTTTTGTCTTCCAGATGTCCAATATCACAGTGACATACAGAGATGGGCGAGTGGCACAGCTGGAGCAGGTGTACATTAGGGGTAGCAAGATCCGGTTCCTCATTTTGCCAGACATGTTGAAAAATGCTCCTATGTTAAAGAGCATGAAGAATAAAAACCAGGGTTCGGGGGCTGGACGAGGCAAAGCAGCTATTCTCAAAGCCCAAGGTAGGTACTTATAGTTGGTCCTTAGCTTTTTTGATAACTTACTGACATGGTGAAATGGATGCATCGATTTATTACTAAAATATAAATGTTGGGAGGAGTTTAGTTGCCAGTCTGAGGTGCAAGTTAGATGGTTGAGTAGTTTGAACTTAAGTTTGTCAGTATACATTTTGTAGTACTTCATTTAAAAAAAAAAAACAAAAACGAAAAACCAAAATCCCGAGAAACAACCTAGGGGTAAACTGATGGAGATTTTGGGGGCCAATACCAATAGCCAATTTTTAAGGAGGCATATCTGCTGATACTGTGACTTCTGATAGCAGCCTGGCAGCTTGGAGAGCTGCGAGCAGCTGTTGAGCCTGTTGTGGTGGAAGGGGCCAGGGGGAGCAGATCAGTGACCCCGCAGTGAGGGAGGGGGTGGGGCTGGAGTAAGCACTGCTTAACCAGGGAGGGTGTGGGATGGAGCTGCGGCTTGTCTGGGAGCCACTGGTCTGGCACTCGCCTGGCAACTCGCACCACTGATCCGCTGCTTGTCTGGGAGGGGGGTGGCGTGTGTGGTGTGTCCCCCTCCCCCCCCCCGTGCCCTCCTGGATGAGTGGTGGGAGCCACTGAGTAAATGCTGGACCGGCAGCTCCCAGATAAGCAGCGCACAGTGGTGGGAGCTGCCCCATGCCCCCCCAGACAAGCTGCAGCTCCATCCCATGTCCACCTTGCCCTGGCTGGGCACCTCTTGCCCCAGCCTCACTCCTCCGTCACCACAGGGACCTTTGATCTGCCCCCCCACGCCCCTTCCTGTCCCTTCCACCACACCAGACTTACCAGCTGCACACAGCTCTCCAAGCTGCCAGTCTGTGCTCCTAGCTGACTGTGTGCTGCACTGCAGCTGTGCGCGCACAGGCATTTATCAACCAAATTATTGGCCACGTCAAGCCAATTTCCGGTTTTACATTCAATTTTCTTTATATCAGTGCCTATCCAATATCAGACCAATGGATTGGTGCACCTGTACAAAAAACTTTTAAAATACCAATATTGGTTCTGAAACTGCTTTGGAAAGAGTCAGTTCTGGTGTCCAGTATAGTTTCATAGTTAGTAGGGTTGGAAGGGACCTGAGTA